TTTTTTTTTTTTTTTAACCCAAAAAAGAGGGAAAAATCAACAGTAACTACCTCACACTAAGAAATCCATAACTTGACTATAAAAATTCAATTACTACTTTCTCCAATGTCAGCTAGAACAAGAATCAAAAGAAGACATTTTATCCAGTCCAGTTCAGTATCACAAAACAATTACTGTTCTTGCTGATCTACTAAACTAAATAACTCCCACCAAAAAACCACCCACTGCGTATTAGAAAAAAAGAAACACAAAACAGCCAAAAATAGTTGCAAAAGTCCTAAACTAATTATGCAGCACTACGAGAGAAATTGGCCACGAACAAAGGTTGCTTGGGTGTACATAAAAAGAATACTTCACCCGCTTCCTCACTTCTGATAAAAATTTGCAATGAAAATTCTAGTTAAAACCCCGTTTACAACTACTGAGGGACTTATGCTTTTCAAATGTATTTCTAATGAATGACATAAGGAAAAACAAGCGATCTATCAAAGAGACTTTTATATTCCAAAATGCTTTCAAAAAAAATTAGAAATTTATAACCTTCCTTTCACTCAAGATTACCAGAACAGCTGAATATAACCTAAGATCAAAATAATGGTCAACTACAGAAAACCTCCAAAACTATAATCAACTATTTTGCTTTTACACAAAGTTAATGCAACTTCCAACCAACTGTAAAATTATCAGAGTAACATTACACAAAATTATCAGTGATTCTATCAATATGTACTCAGAAAATCAAAAAACTAAACCCCAATTTTTTTGTAAAAGCATATAAAGAAAAAGAAATTATTATACATGAATAAATAAACAGCAAAAAACAAAACATTTGTAAGATATACTAAAAAGCACCAAGTAATTGTGACAAAAAACTAGGTAAAAATGGCAACGAACTAGCCGACTGATCAATGCAATGCGCAAAATTTAAAAAGACCATAAAGTACGCTACTTTCAATACTGATAAACTGTCAAAACAAATGCAGAATAATACTCCCATACAGCCTATTATATCGAGTATTAAAATCAAAACATCACTGTTCTTACGCCACACCTGTTCAGCATAAAGCATATCAAAAAAAACAAAGTTTAACCAAAAACAATTTTCAAGATCATAATAAATTTTATCAGCTAATCAAAAAGCTTTCAGTAAACAAATTGAATTGAAGCTGAAAAAAAAAGAATTTTAAGCAAAGAGCTACAAGAGTCTAGCAAAAACAGGAGAAGTATCTACACAGGAAAGTGTCTTTATGAGCACAGAAAAAAAGAAATGGCACAAAACCGATATGAACCAGACACCAAATAAAAGATGTTCACCCTCGCTTCCCTCATCGTCATTCCTCCCCTTTATCAATTTCTGTCTCCCAGTAATCACCTAAAAAAAAGTGACATTGCTATTCCAAAGAATTTCAGTCCCTTACCGATCTCCACGATAGCTAATTGGAAATTAAGACCAACTTCCAAACAAAAAACTTCCTAGTTTCCTGAAAACCACGACCAGCCCGCAAAATTAGAGCTAACATAATGATCACATATAATATCTGACAAGTACCCCTAATAAGTTTAATAGTTAACCTCAACGAAAACTGAAACAAATATACAGGCAAATGCTGTCCCCATTTTCCTCATAAAAGCCATAATCAAAAAAAAAAAAGAAAGTCTTCTCCTTCCCAATACAGCCACTAGAACGTATGACCAAACAATTATTGGCTACAGTGATTTAATTACAAATTGTACAAAACGGAAACTTAAAAAGAAATCTGAAAAGATGCCTTGATTAAAGTTGATCTTGCATTACCATGACAAAATAAAAGTGAAGAACTACAAAAGAAGAAAAAAGAAAAGATCTACAGAGGCCGACTGAGGCGTACAACTGAAAGCTGCACAACAGCTGAAAAGTTAATCTGGCTCGGTGTGCTTAGTAAATTAAGGTTCTGCCTCACCCTTACAGTAAGCGACATTTCAGTGATCCCAGCGACGAAGCTAAAAGGATACATATTACCCGACATCAAAACACCGTTGATGTAGAACAACGTATTCAACAACATTCTTGGCTGAGAAACCTGCTGGTCAGGCAGCATTTTCGAATCTCCATGAAACTGAAGGTTCACAGGTAAAAAGGCTCTTTTTATACGAGTAATTCTAGCATCAGAACAAGGAAACTGATCATTCAAAATCTGTGATACTACAAAAAGCTGCCACCATTAAGACACGTTCCTCAAAAAAAGTAAAACTAACCAACTAAAAAAACTTACTGCTACGGCAAAAACCTCTTACTTTCTCCAGTCTCTAAAACGAGCACAAAAATCCTCTAATTCATGATTAACCCAATCATAGAGGCTCAAAAGCTGCCAACTTGTGACATTTCCAATCCAAACTTTTCAGATTTTACTATTTCACGACGCCATCAAGCAAAAATTACAGACTGAATGCATATAAAAAACAAATATCACTGAACGATTTGTCGGATGAGACTAATCGCTTTATTT